AGGCCCAATCTGGTGCCGATTAGACTCGTTAATGAAACGAATTTGAATCAGATTTTGGCTTATGTAAAGATGAATTTAGAAGTCTGACCTGATCCGACGAATTTTATTTTTGTTGTTTATATTCGAATTCATTAACAATCCGAAATCCGATTCCAATATCCCAGCCGATCTAAATAACTTAATTTAACTAAATTTTAACAAATTTTGTCGAAATTTTAGATAATTTTTTTAAATAATCACTTAATTTCTTTAATATTTATACAAAATATATGAATATTTCGGAGCAAATCATAATCAGATCGGATATAAGTAAATCCAAATTCAAATCCGTGAAATATAAGATATCAAATTCGAATTCGGGTTTGGATTAGATTCAAATTAAAATTTGATCTATTTACAAGCCTAGTTCAAAATGACAATTCTTGATCCAATCCACTAATTCGATACAAAATATACATTAAATTATTAACTATAAATTTGATTTTAAGGGTTTCCGATCATAATTGGATATCCACTACATCTCTTTTAATGAAAGATTGAAATGAATTTGGGATACACGATATAAATCTATTACGTAATAAGATATAAACTTAACTATACACGACTTTATTTATATACGACAGAGTCCATTGATAGACTTATTTGGATAATGATTAATGTTTTATTTTGTTGGTAGTTAGGAGATGAGCTACCACAAGAACTCATACCAAGCAGGTTAACCTTTCTTGGTTGACTCAATTACTTTCAAATTGGATAAGATTGGCCAATCCATTCAAAGGTTTTATTTCCTTAAATATCCAAACATATTTTTTAACGTACCAATAAAATCGGACAATTTGGAATCTTATGTGGCTAAGTGGGTCCCGTCGTGTTAAGTGCATATATGGCCTAAAGTCAAGTCATGCTAGACATTTTTCAACCTTCACCAACCCAACTATAATGATGCATAATCGGGTTCAAATTATAAAAATGAATAATCGGGTTTAAATTATGTTGAATTCAAATCATGAACAAGATATGATTAATGGGTCCTATCGTGTTAGGTGTCTAGCATAAGTCATGTCATGCCAGACATTTTTCCAACTTCACCAACCCAATTATAATAATGTATAATCGGGTTTAAATTGTGCTGAATTCAAATCATGAATAAGTTATGATTAGTGGGTTCTTATCATTTTCATTCGACGAGATTAAACAAACGCACCCACTAATCATGCAAATTTATTAAAAATACACTAAAATTGATAATTTTATATCGATTTTGTATTAGGTTCACAAGTGGTGTCTAAAATAGTCGGAGCCCACTATTAGGTTATCTTATATAATTTAAGAGACAAATATCATATTATTATGATGATGGCTTAAGACAAGAAACAATGCCATGTTTTGATGCATTAATTTTTTTTTAGAGCCGTTACTTCCAACCATTTGATTTGGTCATAGTTTTTATTTAGAGAAAAATCCATTTTACCCCTTGAAAGATATAAAAATTCTTAGATCATCTCCCGAATAATTAATTTTTTCATATTTCCAATCAAAAAAAATAAAAAAAATGCAGTATGATCCACCGTCTTATTTTCGTTTAGTCGTCTGTCTGTTTTGTGTTAAGTCAACTAATCAGAAATCACAAAATAGACAAACAACCAAACAAAAATAAGATAGTGGAACAAATTGCAATATTTTTTTGTCTTTGAGGAATAATGTGAAAAAATTAATCATTCAGGGGACAAACCAAAATTGTTTGTATCTTTCAAGAGCAAAATGTAATTTATCCTTTTATTTATTCGATATAAGTTGGAGCTCAAGCAAGTTGACTACGACTAATTTTTTAACACATTATTTGAGAAATGAATATTAAAAAATAAATTTATACATTTTTATTCAGGGCAGTTGCTTGTGGATGTATAGCCTAAATTAATTTCTTTATTTTTAATCTTTTAAAAACCTCTGTGAAGAAATGTCAACAATCCCTTTCTTTTATTTCAACTAGGGGTACCAGCACAAGCAAATATGATTGAAACGTATATTGTTTAAAGAAGAAAAGAATTCGAAATCTCGAGAGTTAATATAAAATTACCCACCCGATTGAAGTTGAAATCTGTCCGATCTTGCAAAAATAAGGGTCAATTTGTTGCGCCCCCCCCCCCCCCCCC